AGGGAAACATTGCAAGCGTGACGGAATGCAGATGGATATTAATCAAGGCAGTAAGGTCTTGTTAGTACGACAGCCTCCTGACAAGGGCTGGGTTAAGCTTAATACCGATGATGCTAGTAAGGAGATACACGTTTCAAGTGTTTTAACACTTTTGGGTGGTTTAGAATGGGCAGCAGGGTTTCAAATCTCAAGTGGGTTCGCGCAGTGCAGCAAAAGCAGGATTATGGGCTGAGCTTTCGAGATTGGAGCAGGTATGGAATGTCCAGTTGCAGTGAGAATTGGCAGCCATCATTAGGGAGCTAGGTTCTAAGATAATAGTAATTTTTATTTTTTTTTTACTCAGTGCGATTACACTGAATTGGCAGCCATCCTTGATCAAGTTCCTGAGAGTTTGTATTAATCAGAGGGGCTGTAGAGTTTTCTTGCTAACTCTGTCATCCACAGTCGAGGGATTTCAAGCGCTATCACATCCTCCTGATGCTATTTTTCAGTTAGCTGTACAAGGACAGGACGTTGCAGTGGATGTCATGACTCCATTGTTTGCTTGGGGTCTTGGAGCACTTTATAGAAAAAAAGAAGAAGATAGGTTCTGTTAGTACTTGAGCTGCCTCTTTTCTTTGTTTTTTTTTTAATTCTACTTCTAAGCATAGATTGTATAGGTCAAAGGCATGATCGAAGCCTTGGTCAGATACTACTCTTGCAATGAACTAAAACCTCAAGCATCCGCCCTTGCCTCTTCTTTTTTTTTCCTTCACACATGGGATTGTCGTGCGTGGGAAACAGAAGGGCGTACAGATTTTGCTTATTTCATGTTCGAAAGGAGCATTTATTTTGTTTTTTCTCCCTTCTTTTCTGAACAAATTTAAGGGGCCGCCTCTCCCATTGAATTCAGCCATGGATGACGGTGTGCTTCTGCACTCTCGGTGTTTTTGTACTGTAGTTTCTTGACTTCTTCAACCCTTTGGTTTGGAGTTCTCAGGTTGTATTTTAAATTTAAAATGTTGACTTTTATTGTTGGAGGAAGTTGTTCTCCGTGGAACGTGGATTGTTGACCTTCAAATTTAAAGTATCCTCTTTTTTTTTTTTTCTTTTTAATTAAAATACTTTATACCAATAGTACACTTACAATATAGTTTATTTTTGGAATAATCTTAAATTATTCCCCAACCTATAATTTGTTTCTCAATTTGCGTCTCCACCAACGTTTTTTAACCATTTGGGTCCCTGATCTTTTCATAATTACTCAATTTAAAAAAGAAGAAGATAAATTTGATTAGTACATGCATACTCCCTCGTTTTTTTTTCTTTTAGCAATATGTAGCTAAAAGGCTTGGTAGAATAAATGATAAGAAAAAGAAGCACGTGGGGGTAATAGAGAATTAAAAAAAAAAGAAGAGTTTAATTAGAATATGCATGGTTATTCTTGAGAAGTTTTTTTTTTTTAAGGGAGTTTTTCACATTAATGTCTCAAAACGAAGATTGAGCTCGTGTTTTCTATATAAAACCATATGCTTGAAAAATGGAAGAAGAATTAGCTAATTATGTGTTTTGTTTTAAAAAGAAGACGGGGAAGAGAAGGTTAGTTAGCATTTTACATTTTCTTTTTTGTTTTATAAGAATATTAAAATGACTATTACCTGAAAATTGAAAAACTTATGTTTTCATTTAGAAAAAACTTTTATTGGTAATTTTTAATTTTTATATTTGTTAGTTATTGGATTAGACCTGATCCGACTATAATAAATGAGCCTAATCTAATTTATTAGAGAAGTTTTTAAAAAAAGTAATCGACTTCTCTAATCATATATAAAGGAACATAACCCATATAAAATAAAAGTTTTTATTATTAAAAAAATATAATTTTTTCTTTTTCTTTTTCTATCTTGATTTTCTGCATTGATTTGATAAGATTTACAAAAATATTCATGCTGTAAAATATCATTTTAATTTTAATAATTGAAGTGACACTGAAATAATTGATTCAGAAATAAAAAAATAAATGCTTACAAATAAGTTTTCTTTTCCAACCTACAATATTAATAGAATTACCAACAAAACATGTTATAAAAAAGTCATTCATCAGATATTTGTATTAAATCAACTTTTCTTTCAGCAATATCCTTTTATGATGGAATATTCACGCCAAAAATAACCATTATAATATTCTAAGGTCAAAGGCATGATCGAAGCCTCGGTCAGATACTACTCTTGCAATGAACTACAATTGCATAGATTGCGAGAGGAGAAAATTTTGATTTATTTCCATTCCTGGCCTTATTAATGCGTTCAAGTTTTGCAATCATGTGAGAAAAACCCAGTTCACAGGTGTTGGAGAAGATCAACAGGGGATTGCAGCAAGCAATGATGCTGGTTCCTTGTCCATCCGAGTTCAAATTACTAATCTGGAAGCCCACCTCAACATGCCACTAAGCCAGAAACTTGACAGTGATTCACAAACTGAATTAGTTCATCTAAATATCAAGAATTTATTAATCATACAGTCCGTAAATAACATCAAGAAGTAATTACTGACAACAATTACCTGAAAATTATAAACGTAAGACAAATAGTTTCGGTTGATTTAACTGCTATGAAAAGCTATCAGAACTAACTGATAACCAAGCGAATCATACGAATCATAGCAGCGCAGCTCAGTCATTTTTATTCTTAACAACTCAAAACAGTAGCACAATAAATTTTCAGGATACTTCTCATTATCTCTGCTAATGCATCCTCGTGCAGCAATAACATCAACCAGAAAAACAAAAATGAACGGTTCACTTCCTAAACATTTTCTTGAAATTTAACTTCAATTGTCATATAATTTATGATTCTTGAAGCGCATTATAAATTCAAAAGTTCGTACAAACCTAATGAGCAATTATCATACACTCAACAACAAAATTAAACACCTCATGTTGTCAGCAGCAATTTTACTTTCAATTGCATTACCTAATGGTTTACCAAAATTTTATTCTCAAGCTTTAAGAAACAAAATTCGTAGAAAAAAAAAGAGGCTTCAAGAACTGTGATTAAACTCAAACCTCAACCTAATCAATCCTGACAAAAACCAGCTAACTTATGAGTACCGGGTACTCGCGTTTCAAGATGCTCATTAATCTTGGCTCTAGGTTTCCTCTCTGCCTCAGTAACATTCCTCGGAGCAGTAATGTTTCTCTCTGCAGAGACTGTTTTTCTATCCACTCTAGCAGTAACCTCCACAAGCTCTCCTCTTTCATTACACACAACCAACGAGGAAGTGGAACTTGATCCATTATATTCAGCCATCTATGATGCTGGAACATTAAAGCATTTTTTTTATCTAATCAACTCTCAATTCCTCTACTTACAAATCTGGTCTATTGCAATTTGTATTTTAGTTCCCTTAACTAAAGGAATTTTAGTCAACATTTTATGATAAGCAACATGCAACTAATCAAGATGGAAGTAGTTTAAGCACACACATTCACCGACAACCAGCAGTTTATACCCTTCAATGTATACTTCAATTAATTCAGATCTGATTATCAATCTCATTTAGTCCAAGAAAAAAATGCTGAGATTGGAAAGAGAAGACCATTTTCCAGAAAATGCATATACACATGTATTCAAAACGAAAGAAGCTCTTAAATGCAAACATGAAAAGAAGAATCAAGCATGGAGCACTCATAGATCACTCCCAAAGGAAACAAGGAAAAGATAGCTTCTTTACCCTCTCTTTTGACTCACTATTGCGCTTTTTAACTCTCTCCAAGTAATCTTCTTTTCACTTGCTTCCTCCAAAAACAACGGTGTTTTTCTTGAAAATCTGTCGACAAGCATTCCCTCCATCAGTTCCTTTGGTCTTGGAGACTAGCCCTATCAGGAAGAGGGGGGGGTCTTGCTCGAGAATAGAAGTGAAACTTTCAGTTAAGTCAACAGAGGAAATGACGACTTGTCATTCAATTCCAAACCAAACTGCTAAGGAACCTCTTACTCTCAATATGAATACTAGTCTGCAGAAGCTGAATCTAAGGCAGATTTAACAGCAAAACTAGACTATTAATGCAGACAAAATAACTTGTTAAATAACACTGCACTACATGACATGACCACCCTCTATGATGAGAGAGGAGATAATGAACCTTACGAAAGCATCAACCATCACTAAAAAATGATAGGCTCGCCAGATATGTCCTGAAGAAAATAACGCGGATGGTTTAAATAAAGCTACCCTTCTCCTCTTATTCGAAATGTGGATTTTAATGAGAAATCTTGTGAGGCAGAAAATTTATCGGGTATGGATTTGCTGCCTGTTGGATGGAGCCTGCAAGAAACTGGTTTACTCCAGTGTTAGAAGCAATACGTGACTGTTACATAATGTTTTGAGTATTGAGATGTTGTTCTTCACGCAAGAGTTCTCCTAAGCATGCCTCCAAAGTCGGAACAGGATCTCTATTTACTAGAGAGGCACAAATAGCTTCAAAATCAAGCCTCGATTTCATTAGAAAATGATCTCTTTAGCTGGTTTTGTGTACATGTTGTATTGTTGCCAATCCTGCCTCCAATCCTTTTATAGAGACAGTGGCTGCAACAAGATCAGAATAGTTATTCCACAAAATCAGAAAACCAGAGTACTAGTCTTGGACTGAAAGATCCTCTCGTGTATAGTTAGCAATGGCTAACTCAAATTGGAAGTGTCTGGCACTGTTGTGTTGCTTATAGACTTGTTTTAGAAAATTCCACATGCAGACGCAGAGGAAGAATCAGAAGTGACTCCATAGAACCAAGAATCCAGGACATGATTTGATTATCTTTGGCCTCCCAAGCTACCTTTGAAAAAAGTCTTTAATTAAAACTTCCAAGCAGCATAATTTTTGCTAGTGAATCTGACGCAAACATTATCTGACTTCTCCATAAGTACTAAGACTATTATTGAGAAAGAAAAAACTGACTGAGGGTTCTTAGAAAACTATGACCGAGGGCTGTGATACCATGACAGAATTCAGAAATTAGAATTCAGAATACCTTTGTTTTCAGCAGATCGCCATTACATATAGGTCATGCTACTTGGTTATACACGGAAACTAGTTATACAAGGAAACCATGAGTGATGACTAGAGTGATCTTAGGAAGCTATACATGGTAGGCTAAATCTCCTTTCGTAATTATGAGAGTATATACACCCTATATTATTAACAAGACATAGCCTATATGGGAAGCTATTTATGGCTTTCTATTGACATTCACCAGCAAAAGAAGCACAATAACCTACAATAAATTATCCAATTCTTATAGAATTTATTTCCATTTTCGGGATACTTTTCATTATCTCTGCTAATGCATCCTCGTGCAGCAATAACATCAACCAGAAAAACAAAAATGAATGGTTCACTTCCTAAACATTTTCTTGAAATTTAACTTCAATTGTCATATAAGATTCTTGAAGAGCATCATAAATTCAAAAGTTCGTACAACCCTAACAAGCAATTATCAAACACTCAACAACAAAATTAACCAACTCATGTTGTCAGCAGCAATTTTAGTTTCAATTGCATTACCTAATGGTTTACCAAAATTTTATTCTCAAGCTTTAAGAAAAAAAATTCATAAAAAAATAGGAGGTTTCAAGAACTGTTATTAAACTCAAATCTCAACCTAATCAATCCTGACAAAAACAACTAACTTATGAGTGCCGGGTACTCGGTTCTTAAGCGTATCAAGATGTTCATTAATCTTGGCTCTAGGTTTCCTCTCTGCCTCACTAACATTCATCGGAGCAGTAATGTTTCTCTCTGCAGAGACTGTTTTTCTATCCACTGTAGCTAATTACTTCAATATAATAAACAACTGCCAGAAAGAATCAGATGTGACTCCCATCAATTATCAGAACATTCTGGAAAAAGGGACTAAAACCCAAACCCCCATCAATTATCAAACAACTGCCAGAAAAAAAGTACTTCAATATAATAAACATCAATTATGCTATAAGTGCACATTGCAGGAAATTCATTATATTCAGCCGTCTATTATGCTGGAGCATTAAAGCATTTGTGATCTAATCAACTCTCAATTCCTCACAGAACAAGACAATTAAATATGCTATAAATCAACTGCATCACCACCTCCAGTGCACAGTGAGGAGAAAAGTTATATCTAAGAAATCACGTGCTCACCAGAGATCCTGAAAAAAAACAAAAAGAAGAAGAAGAAGAAGAAGACAAGGAGGAATCGAAAGGGAAACCCTTCTCCACTAGCTTGAAAGTTTGGAGTAACTCTTGTGAAACAGAAAACTTAATTTGTCAAGTGTGGATCTGATAGCCCGGTCGACAGAGCCTGCAAGAAAGTGGCCTCCTTATGCTCTTCTTTGCAGCTGTTCATCAACATCTAAGAAGAAAGATCTCGACATCTGCCCTTGGTATTATCAGATGAAGGGCATCAAATACCTGTAAAGTCAACCTCTGAAATAATCAACCCAGCAATTAATACCAACAAAAAGGCATTTTTTTTATCTCCCGGGATTGAAAAATTATGATTGTTGAAAAGAGCCATAAATTCCAAAATCAGCAAACATTCAACCAAACATAAAAAACTAAGCAGCCCATATAATCAGAAACACTCAATCCAGCTAATTTTCAAGTTTCTAAATTTTATTCTCACCACAATATTTATTAAGGGGCAAGAAAAATGTCAAACTTTAAAAAATAAAGCCAGCAATGAAGCATTGATATTAATATTTCTCCTATAAAAACCTTAACATTTAGTTTTAAAGAAAAGAAAATGAACAGGGGGGTTTACCAGGACGAGAAAGACGAGAGAAGCAAACCATGCTTGTCTCTGTATGGAGAGAGATTATAGAAATAATACGATGTAATTTTCAGACAATATTATTTTATAAAAAATAAAGCACAAGACTAAAAACCCAACTTGGCCCTTCAAGCAACTTCTAATTACAGAACATACACTTAAAAATGCCATGCGCAAACACCTTAACATTGACTGACTATCTAATGATTGAGGAATTTATTAGCCCATGTCTAGAAAAGGTAACATGAGAACTGGGCCTCCTTTGTGCCCTACCATTAAAAGAAAAAAACACAAAGGATGGATAGATTTGAGTCCATTAGATTTTCTCGAGTTAATACATTCTCTCGTCCCCCTATGTTGGACTGACGTTGTTTACCTGACTCGTGTTAGAAACAGACAAGCACTTTTTTCCAAATCCATCCCAGTTGAAACCCACTCGACAGAGAAATGACTGCCTTCAGTGCTTTGTACTTCTCCTCCACTCCGTCCTGTCCACAGCTCCTAAAATCACCGCCGAAATCGTTAATCAAACCCCATTTAGCTTGTTTATCTCTCCCAAGATCCAAGCAGATTAACGTTGTTGGGAGAAGCTCAGCTTTCCGTCCTAAAATGGTGTTGACGCCTGGTCCTGGTTCTGATATCAAACCGTTGCGATTCTCTCTTGCTTTCGGAGCTTCTATCAGCAAGAGGGAGAAATTCTCCCCTGTTAGTGGTGAAGAAAAGGAAACAAGATTTGAGATTGACATTTCCACTCCTCTCCTCGCTGCTCGAAAGCAATCGAACTCCCTTCAATCGCAAACATTTTGTGAGCTGTTTCCATCAGTTCTCATCCACTGTGCAGCTATCATAAGTTTTATCAAGCTGCTTAGAAATACCATTAATAGTACTAATAGTGGTGGTGGTGGTGGGGGCAACATTGGTGGGAGAGGCGGAGAACACTCTGTGAAAACGGAGTCGCCAACGTGTGCTGTAAGTCTTGATCTTCGTATCCACTCTGTAAGTAGTGGGAAGATATCCTCGGCGGGCTACGAGAAAAAAACGGAATTTTCATTTCGTTGCGTTGTCTCTGTATTTTTGTTCAATCACGCGATATTATCGAATTTCCTGAAACTATGGGCTGGTTTTCCATCTAGAATCCTCTCCAATTTAATACCTTGGATCTTCTCTGTTCCTACGGTATGGTCCGGTATTAGTAAAATTGGTGGTGGAAGTGATGGTGGTGTTGGATGCAGTAGTGGTGGCGATGGCGTCGAGGGCTCAAATGGTGCTGTAGAAATGGTTTTGGCACCAAGTTCAAAGCCTCTGGATCCTCTTGATTTTGAAACCTCAGGTTTCAAGGAGAAGATTATTCCTGGCCACGATGAGGTATTGCGTTTCCTACCTCATTGTCGTTTGTTTTAAATTTATTTTCTTTATTATTTCGTGCTCTAATTTAAAGTTCAGTTTTGTGAAAGCAAAATCAAATGGAAACCTTAATTTAGTATTTGATAACCCAAGGTAGTGATTGAGGATTTTTAACTCGTTCTAGTGTGGATTTTGTTGCTTGTCTTTCCCCTGTCTGTTTATTCTAATCAGATTTTATTTATGTTCATCACTTAATTTTGAAAGAAAAAATGGTTATTGATTGTGGTACATTGTGAAATCTTTCTTGTTGTATGAATGTGCCGGAAATTAATATAAATTATATTTTTAGCCGAGATTTTTTTTTTAAGAGATAAATCCATGTGTGCATGATGCTTGAAAATCAGCATGTTTGATACCTGTTAGCTTCATTATTTTCACTGTTCTTCCATTAATGTGATAATTTCGGAGTTGTTCATTGAAGGTGTCTCTTCCCTGCTTGGGAAATTCCTTTGACTTGGGTGATTAATTCCTCGAACTTGACTACATAATATCCCATGGCTCCTTTGTATGATAAAGGAAGGATTTGTGCTCTTTTGCTGAAACCCGTGCTACCACTATAAGATTTAGGCCAAATAGTTGAATAGGTTGCTTTAACTTGATGCCCTTTGCATGTCCTTCAAACTGTGTACTTCTGTTACTTTTCTGACAGTCTACGTCGTAAGAAAGGAGCTTGGTTCCATGCCGTTAATTTTTTGATGACTGCTCAATGCACATTGATGACATTGATGATGTACGTGTAAGGATTATGGACATCACTTATCTCTACATTGGTATGATATTTGTCCACTTTAGGTCTAAGTCCTCGTGGATTTGCTCTTGGGTTATACCCAAAAGGCCTCATACCAATGGAGATATTTGTTCATCCTTATATACCCTTGATCCTTCCCATTTCTAACCAATGTGGGAATTTAGTCGCATACCCAACAATCCTTCCCTCGAACAAAGGACCACCGAGCCTCTCCTCAAACGATCATTTATCCATCCACTCTCTACCAACCAGGATTTTTCATCCTCTACTTCTCTCTACTTCATCGTGTTGGGGTCAGGACACGTCCATGAAGCATCCGGAGAGCACTACCTGACTTGAGAGTTTTTGCTCTTTCTAGGTCAACTCCTCTTTCACCATGTTGAGATCAGGACACGTCCATGAAGTATCTGGAGCACACCGCCTATCCAATAGAGCTGATCCATGGATCATATTTAGGGCCCACACCTTTTGTTCGGCATTC